CTGTCAGATTTTTTTTTTTTGCCATCTGTGACCCATTGGGAGATTTTTTTTTTCTCACCTCCTGTCTGATAACCACAACAGGGAGCTGGAGGAAATCTCTCCAAAGAGAGGGAAATCCGTGGTGCTCAGTAGGGTCACCAGAACTACTGTCCCCATTGGAGAATTTCCCATCTATTCCTGTTCTGGTGACAACTCAAAATTTGGGATTATCTTTCACTTTCAGTCACCGGGACAAATAGAGAGGGTGAATTTTCTTAACAGGGACACAGTCCGCAATAAAAACCTGACAGGGGATCCATACATCTTCACTTTATCCAAAACAAAAAAAGAAAAGGTTTTGGCTTCAGTTGCATTTCTGTATCTGGGGGTTTTGGTTTTAAATCATGGACTGATTTCCTGCAACAAGAATCTTAAGGGCCTGTTCACACGACATCCGTTTTCTCTGCTGACCTGATCCGTACGCTCCTGCACTAAAAATGCACCCCAATGTATCCCTATGTGTTTTATGGGCTCCAGTTCTCACGTGCGCAGTCCGTTCAGGTTACGGCAAAAAAATACTGCATGCCACATTTTGTCCGGTCAGGAAACGGTCCGGAAACGCGTCAAAAACGCACTGCAGCTAAAATACTGACAGCCCCACTCCAGCAAAAAAAATAGATTTTTTTCTTTTTTTTTTTACTGGAACGCATCAAAAACGCGGCAAAAACACATAGCACCGCATCTGCAGATCCGGACCTGATCAGGATCTGAAAATCATGTGAACAGGCCCTAACTCTGCAATAGAGTCGAGTGGCAGCAGGACAGGTAAGTGTTCACTCTTTCTTTGCAGGCAGGGCTTCCTTTTATTTAAATAGTGATGGTTGCTTTAAGAACTGATAGTCTTCATTGTTGTTGAATCATTTAAATTATTTTATCTAATCCAATAAGACATTCTTTTATCCCCACCTGGGATGGCTGGTGACAGTATTTTCAAAGTCCTAATTGATTTGAAAGTTGCAATCACATGGCTTGAAGTGCATGTAAACCTATCATTTCTTTTTAGTATGCTTGGCATCATGTCTTACCTTTTCACAGTTTTCTTAATCAAATATGTTTTTGTGAGAGTGTTTTGAAGTGTCTTACCTGGAGATCCTGCCAGTAACAGCACTTCCTGTTGCAGGCGGACAATGCTGAGCAGCAGTGTTGTCATCCTGGCGTATGTACTGGTCATGTAGTTGGCCAATGGGCTGATTATCTTGTCTATTAGATAGGCAGCACAACAGACAACTGAGCTTGCTGACAATGCTGCTGGTAATTGCAAAGCAGTGACTTAGTATGGTCAACATGAATCAGAAAGTGCTGTTACTGGCGGTGAAAAACATTACAACCGAGTCGCAAAGAATGATTCGCTTAACAATATTGAGTACAGTGAGGCATGATGCCAAACATATTAAAAATAGATTTAGAGTCTCCACTACCCTTTAAACAAAGATTATAATCTGTGAGGGGAATTTATCAAAACTGGAGCAGACAGAATGTGGAGCAGATTTGCACTGCAGCCAATCAGCTTCTCTCTCTCATTTTCAAATCTTACCTGAGCAAACTGAAGAGAGGTGCTGATTGGTTGCCATGGGCAACTGCTCCAGATTCAGTTTTGCTGCAGTTTTGATAAATGCCCCCCTTTGTGAAGAGTGTGTAAGGTGTTTAGAGATGTTCTTTAATACACTTCAAATGATTAACATAGCTCTAAACCCTGACTGAAGAAGAGTGAGTTTCCTCTGTACACTTTGTATGACATTGTATAATAAACAGATAGCATTTTTTTTAGATAAAATTGTATTTTCACTTTTTAAAAAAATTTATTTTATTGAAAAGATTGGGTAGAACATCACCACAAAGTATGAAATAAAAAAGGACCAATACTAACCAAACAAAAGACTGCTGATGGGTATGAAAGCACGTTGCATGAACCAAGATCTTCCATAAAGCGATACTATAAATATGGTATAGAGGAGGATTCTGGGGTAGCTGCCTCTTTAGGTTTCCTATCCCAGTTTGATGCAGTCCTAGAAATAGTCCAATTGGTAAACAGTTGAGATGAATACGTGGAGTGCTTCTTGCTGCTGATGTCAACATAGTAGAGTATTGATGATAAAAATTGGTTGACCAATACCCAGCCACTGTACCGAATCATCTCCAACCTCACCTCCCCAAACAACCCTGAAGTTCTGTGATCTCCAGTCTCTTTCAGCCATTCCCTGTCTAGAAGTGCTTGCTCCAGTGTCAACTTCCTGATGGTGACACTGATGGATCATGCCTGTGTCAGCAAGGCTCCTTGTAGTCTTCACCAGGGGTGTTTGTGACAGGGTGACGATGCAGGAGTACATTTGGTAGACATGGGCAAAACATTGTCCCCCTATAACAAGAAATGCCTCAACAATGGCAGGGTCACCAGGAAACATTTTAATGAAACCTGCAGATGTATAAAGACTGAAAATGAATTCTGAAATGACATTAACATGTTAAATCTCATGAGATTTAGTGATTGGATTTAATCTGATGTCCTTTAACTGTTTCAGCGTTCTCCTAGTCACCATGAGTTTGTTGATGTACACTGGCACCATCTAGTGACTGAGATGTGTATTGCACCCTGCTGCTTGACAAATGAGCTGGTCACAAAGGCTTAGGCTAAGAGCTGCTGTTGTATATTTGAAATCCTCTGCAGCACTTAAAGGTTGTTTAAAAGAAACTTCAGCTGGGATCAAACTGAATCAACTTTCTTTTTCCCCTCCTAAGAAAACGAGTTGCTGACATTACAAAATATTTTTGCTGACAGTGCTGAAGGCTGCCCTGTCACGTTTAGTCCAACTGAACACATGTGGACTGCAACAGTGATTATGATACATAGCAGGTTATTTTAGATATATGTTTTTGAAAGAGCAGTCTTTTTTTGGAAAATGTATTTCATTTATAGGTAATTATCAGTCTGATTATAAAAAAAGAACTTAGAAAATAGAATCTACACTCAGTTCACACTTTTTCTCAGTTGATTGTAATGCAGGGAAGTTATTTTGCAGTCCAGTACACCCTTGAAAATTGGGTTTATGCCTGTTTTCAGCCATAATATTCTTGTCCTTGTAGTACAGAATACACTTAGGCCTGACCCACACCTCCTGTTTTTCATGCTTCTTCATACAGTGACAATGTCGTCAATAGACCATGTGATGTGCATCAAGAAGTAGTCCGCTCATGTCAACATATCACAGAGATGTTATCTAGCACAGTTTAAAACAATGGCTTACCTATATACATTCATTGATGACTAAAATGTATAGGTGTGAATGGGCATTAACATTTTTCATTGCATCACTGGGACTGAATTTTTGTTCCTGGTTCAGACCTACATGGCTCTGACTTGTCTGTTTAAATATGACGGAATAGCATTGTTGAATATTTGGAAGAATTCCTCATCCGAAACAATTAATTGTTTGTGTTCTTTGCTGCTCTTGTTTAGAGATTTAATTCAGTGCCGTCCTTCCCTTTGCTGCTATGCTGTTGCTGGTTGTTTTAGTTTGGTGTTGCTGCTATTGACCTTGAAGTGGATCAATCATCTATATTATATTTGAAAAAATGTCTAGGCAGCATCTCAATGTCTCGTCAAGCCGACAGATACAACCAGCACTGATGTCACTACACTGTTGTATCCTCAATCCAAACTTCACTTGGGGGCAGCTGCTCAACCGGGATGGGGGTCTTGAAGCATATATGAAAAACAGAAAAAGGCGACACCTCCTTGTGTAATATAATTTATCAAAGAAATTTGATAATGGTAGTCAACAAACATAATAATTATATGGGCACAACCAACACCAATCCAGCCCCCCAAGATCTTGACTGCAGAACTCAAATGGACAGTATAGCCAAACAGAGTAATCCACGGTCACTGGACTCGCCAGTGATGCAGTTTAGCACTTACACGTTTCAGGGGTAAGCCCGCTTCATGTTGGTGAATGCCATTATCCAATTTTACCTTTCTTTAAAAAAATATTACACAGGGAGGAGGCGCTTTATGCTGTTTTCTGCTATCTCAATGTTTATTCAAGAGGAGGAACATAAGAAAATTGTGTCTTTCGTCTGCTGGCAAGAAGAATCATTTAGTCAGTCTCCCTTCCTCCTGTATTCTATCAGACTGTACATTGTAATTTCTTGCAGCTCCGAAGATAAGTGACAGCTGCCGTTAGCTGATCTGTGTGAGGCTACTGCTTAAGAATAGGGATTTACACTGTATATAATTGTGCCATTGCTGTCCAAGAACTAGATGCTAACCATTAATTATGCCTAAACAAAGATGGCTCCCTTCTTTTGGAGAGAGAAGCAGATTAAGGCATTATCAGGGGGAGTACGATAAACGTTGTGAGAGGTAATAAATACTGTACCTGTAAGTTTTACACATACACATTACTTGGCACGCATGCACTTGAAAAAATATATCTAAAGTTTGGTCCAGTTTAAAGTGTACCTGTAGCGATTTCAATGTTGTTAAACAGTTACTTGAATTGTTTAACAGGCACATTTTCTACACTGCCCCAGGAGCAAGGACTTTCTACCAGAAAAGTACAGATGAGAGGTAGGAAGGTCAAGCTCTGACCTGCCACCTTCTGCCCATTTTTGTAAGGGTGAGGTTCAATGACCAATTGTGAGGGACAGGGCATAGCTGACTTTTTGAGCTCTGGTTGGTATTTGAGAAAGAGCATTCTCTAATTCTTGGCTCCCAAATGCTCTAGAAGAAATCTGAGCCTATGTATAGATACCCAATGATGTTTGTTGTTGAATCCAAGTGGTGATGTAATAACATTTAGAACACTACAGTTACTCTTTTAATTTATACGCCATAGAAAATGAAAGCAAAAGACCTGATTTGTTTTTTTTCTTTCTTTGGGCTGGCTACAAAATGTTCTGTCAGATACACGTCCAGGGTCCAAAGCTAATCTCCTGAAATAACAAATGTTTCTTTCTTGCAGACGTTGACGAGTGCTCCTTTGAGAGGACCTGTGACCACATCTGCATCAATTACCCTGGCAGTTTTGAATGTGTCTGTCAGAAGGGATACACACTCTATGGACTGACACACTGTGGAGGTTTGTAAAGTTTTGTTTCTGTGTTTCAACGAACATCTTAAAGGATCTTTCTATCCAAATCTGCTATATCAGTTAGAAGTGGGTGTTGCGATAGTGTGAGGGTAAGCTTACCTGGAGGTAGCCCCACCATCTACTGCTAGTTATGACTTAAAGCAGACGTAAACTGCGGTGGTTGGCGGGCAGCATTTGCCATAATGTGGAAATATGCACAAGCTGCTTCCACATTATGACACCCTTACCTCTGGGTCTGCCCTCCTCCAGTGATGTAATGTTTGAGTTCCTTGCCTCCACTCCATCCCCGTTGGTGCCATGTTATCTTCCTCTTCTTTTGGGCCTGTTGTCTTGTTACTTTGCCCATTGTGCAGGCACTGATGATTCCTTGTGTACTTGAGTCACATCATCTTGGCTCCGTACTCCATTACCAGTATTTATATGATGCTGGGACTGTACATTGTACTGTACATGTGCTACAGCCAATTTAAAGATTTAAAGTGTTTGCCAGCAGCTAAGTAGAAAAAGAGATTAATAAAAGACCCTTAAAAGACTTATTGGAACCGCAGAATTGTCTATTTTTACTACAATATCTGCTGTTTGTAATATGCGTGGGTTTGGTGCAAACCAAGTTTGCTAAAGCCTGCAAAAATCTGTCAGTAGGACATCCCCCTCCTGGCCCTATCAGTTACGGGCAGGGCATTCCCTGCCCCTTTGTTATGTGTAGCTGCGGGGCAGAGTATGCCCCAGCTGAAACTGTTTGGGCTGGGAGGGGGCTGTATCAATGACAGCTTGTGCAAACTAGGTCCACGCACATCGCTTAGACTTGTTCTTTTGAAAAGCCAGTATAAAGAAAAAAAGTTATTATTAGGAAAAGCAGTTGTTGGTTTTGCGTATTTATGACTTTTGTAACTGGAGGCGTGGCATGAGTGTGTCTTTTACCACCATACTTTGTGCTCCAATGTATCCATTCCTATCTTAGAACTTTGGGTAAAAGTGCTTTTTTTTAATGGAAAACACTGATCCTGTGACGCACAAAGCATATTTTTAAGAAGATATGACAACATAGCGGGCCTGAAATCATTGGCAGGAAAAAGCTATGTAACTCTGCTACAATGAACACAGCACCAAGAGGTGAACAATGCATGCCACAAGGTCATGTTTAGAATTGTGTCAACATTTATTGGAAGTTCTCTCCCTCTTTGAGTATAGTCCGGGTTTATAGGTAACGCACAGGGAGGAACAACCCATTGCTCATACTGAACACATGCAAGTTTAATGTCAGGTTGAGTGTTTTTACAAATGACCATTCTAATATGGCAAAGTCATTGGCACATATTTTTTTACTCTATCCTTGTATGACACTGCCCTTTCTCCAAGAGCAGACTAAACAGTAAAATCAGGCGTTGATGTGGTCAATCAGGAAAATGTTTGGTGACAGCTGATGAAAACTGGCCTTGTGATCTTTACCAGCATTTTAAAATGTGAAACCTTTTATATTGTCTTTTTAGATGTCATGTAGTCCATATCTAAAGAGTACCTGTAGTTTTTGAGACAGTGCTAGGTGATAATGTAGAGAGGTAGGAAATGCAGACATTGTTCATGAGGGATTAAGGTAGAACTGTAGCCCAAACTTTTTTTTAAATTAGTTTTTAATAGAATATGGGATGGTTATTATCCCTGTCAGCTTTTTTTGCTATCTGTGTACCTTCCCTCCACTTCCATGCCTGATAGCCACAACAGGAACAGAGAGAAAATCCCTCCAAAGTGTGGCAAGTTCCTTGTAGTCAGAAGGTCACCATAATTAGTGTCCCCATTGCATGATTTCCCATCTATTCCTGTTCTGATGACAACCAAGATTTCAGATTTTCTTTGGGTCACCAGAACAAATACAGAGGGTAAATCTCCCTAATAGGTGCATAGACAGCAATAAAAACCAGACAGTTGTTCTAATCCCTCTTCACCTAAAAAAGTTTTGGCTTCAGCTGCATTTTAATTATATTTAAAATGGTGATATATTTTTTTACTCCTCCTGTAAAAATTAAACCAAACCTTACCTATATGTTGAGCCTCGCCTAATATCCTTAGAGCAGCTAAAAGAAGATTCTATTGTGGACGTGTTTGGTGTCATTTAGAGTTAGACTGTATTTGGACATCAATTTAAACTGCTCACTTGGTTATTAAATAAAAGCGTTCCCCCGTCCTCCATCATTTTTTTCTGCCATAGGCCAAAATCAAATGGGTCTTTTCAGAAAGCCATTGTTTTTTTTTTGTTTGTAACCGCTTTTCTCATCACCTCCAGACAGTTGTGGTTTAAGTGCAGCAAAAGAACTGTCGGGGCAAGAGGGCAGGGGTCATATTGAGAGATGTGACAAGATTCTCTAGCTCTCAGGGTTACTAGGTGAGCATCAAAAAAGATGACTCCACCAACTGTAATACCCATTAGCTGCAATATTCATGTAATTATGCCACCCTTGTGAAGGTAAAGGGGCACGTCAACCCTCGCATGCGCAGCTCAGTGCACAGACCTAAAATGCAGAGATGAAGTAACTCCCATGTGCATTCACGGGATTTTCTTTCATTGGGACCCGACCAATCACGGGGCCAAAGATTTGAAACCCAGAAGAAGATCATAATGAAGATGGAAGTGCTGGAGAAGTGCAGCATTGCAGGGGATTTGTTTGGCAGGTAAGTCTACTATAATGTGCAAATTTGCTGTTCTTTACGAGCATAATATGGCTAAAAGCTCCAGCCCCCAACCCCCAGCTTTACTTCTACTTTAAGGGGTTGGTTTTGAAATTGCTTCAGTATTTTGAAAATGTGCTCGTTACCTTTGAAGAGACTTATACTTAACTTTACGTTCCCTTTCCATAGACATTGATGAATGCAGCATTAACAATGGAAGTTGTGACTCGGGCTGTTTTAACACTCTGGGGAGCTACGACTGTACCTGTCCTTTAGGGAAGAGACTGCACTGGAACAAGAGAGACTGTATTGGTGAGATAGTTTGCTCCTTTTTTCTTGTATTAATAGTAAAGACTAATTTACAATATTGATTGTTATGATCAGCCTTAGTAATAATAAGAGTAACCAAGAAAGCAATTGCTAGAGGGTGCTTGGCCTTGTGGTGCCAACTTTGACCCTCCTTCATTAATGCCCCCATCTCACCTTTTGCACTAATGAAAATAGCACTTAAAATAGTGAATGTTTTTTCTGATTATTTTAAAATGTGCTTTTTTACTGACTTGTGGTGGCTATAGTGGTTTTATATAGAGTTTTTTACTTTTAAAAATGTTTTGTTGTATATTACGTTTCACTTAATTTTGGCCTGTATATGGCTTTGCCTTACCTTTCAGACAACTTTGATATAAGGATTATTTTCACGTCGCAATTACATTTCTCATAATATATTGCCAGCCAGTCTCGTTTTTTTTTAGCTCTAGAGTATTTAACTGTAATTTATTTTTTTCCTAGAGACAACAAAATGTGTTCCCAGCTACAAGCCTGCCCCAAGGGCCCAACTGGTGTGTAGTAAATCATCAGGGATTGATAGCTGCTATTTATCCTGCCAATCCAACACCCTCTTCTTACCAGGTTTGTGGATAGCTGTAACTCACATGTCCAACGTGCCCTTTGACTAGATTTATTTTTTCTCATATCTTTGCCAGGTAGCATAACCATGCCCAGGACCTCCACTGTATTTAGGCAGTATAATTTTGGCCAGCCTGTTGATAGGACAAGTGATTGAGTCATCACTTTGTTTCTTTAAAAGAACCTGCCATTTTGCTCTGAATGGTCAAAGTGAAAGGGGGGGGGGGGGGTAATAAAAGGTGTCTGAGACAAACTTTGTCTCAACTGGAGCGCAGCCAATCAGATTTCAATTTTTCATTTTCTAAGCTGTGTGGAGAACAAATAGACGTTAGAAGCTAATTGGTTGCCATAAGCAGCTGTGCTAGGTGAGACAGAAAATGGACAGAACTTGTCTCAGACAATTTTCACAATGCTCCCCATTCTGTTTAAGGGCTAGAGCTAAGAAACACGGCTCTTTTTCAGAGTAAGGTTGGGTTGTATTTTCAAAAATATTAACTCGTCCCCTTGTTATCTTTAGCACTTCAGAGAGTACATTTAAATATCCAGATCTGTCCCAAAATGGTGCATTCTGAAAATATCAAGTGGTCAATGCCTTGACCAAGTCTACCACCATTCATTCATGTCCAGTCAATTTCATTAGAATTGTCTTACAGATTGTTGTCTTTTTCAGTCAGTCGCTATGGTCTTCCCCCAAGATGAGATGGTGTGTCTGCAAACTCACCAACACCATTTGTATGCACACCAGGAAATACGAATTTGTATTTTTAGATGTTATTGTTTGGGAAAAGTAATCATAGTGCCTTCATATTGAGTCTGCACATTGAACCACCATGTCAATTCTTCGGTACCTTACAATGAAATGTTCCTATCACCTCTGCACACTCTTTGACCAGTATTGTATAAAACCTACTAACTTACCAACATGTCACTTATTTCTAGAGATTGATTATGTATTGCAGACCAGTGTGCATAAGATGATTAGCAATGTATGGGATTATTATACCATACAGCATGTATCATGTATGGGATTATTATACCATACAGATAATATATGATTTTTTTTTATTTAGAGTCGGAGAATAGCTACACATTGAGCTGTGGTGTACCAGTGCAGCAAAACAAGTCTATCCAGAAACGCAATACAACTATACTAACTTGTACAGGTAAGGGTTACTAGAGGGGACAAAAACATATCACAAATCCAAAGAAAGAAGCCAGCGGGAAATCCTTTGTTAGTGAAACTTTATTGTTCCAGACAAGCAACACAAGGCCCTGCCTTGGTCCTCCTCTGACACGTGTCACACAAATCTGAGCTTAATGATTAGACCTGTTTTTGGGTGAAACCTGTTAGAGGAGGAGGTCCCTAACAAGGCCTTGTGTTGATTGTCCGGAACAATACAGAGGATTTTACAATGTTCTGCCAGCATCTTTATTTAAATCTGCAGATAGTTTGGGCAGAGAATAAATCCTTGCATGGCTTCGGCACCTGGCTTACTAAGGGGGTGACCCAATATATAGGGCTTTGGAGCAGCAGAATTTTTTTTTATTAAAACATAATTTATACTTCAGTTGTTCATGCGTGTTACATTGAATCATTAGTTTGTGACCCTGCTGGCGAGATTGACGCTATCTGTTTCACCAAAGTGATCATTGTCAATGACACAAAGTGATGGTAACTCCAAAATGTAACAGTTGTTACCAGAACAAGAGGTGAGGGAAGGGGATCTCTGCTCATGTTGAAGAGAGTTCCTCTTCCTATTGCATATCAAGGACAGAAAGTGAAGGGTAATCTCCCGAACGGGAAACAGATGGCAGAAACCAACCCTGGTAGGTTTTAACCTGCAACATTTAACACAATCAATGGTGCTCTACTGAGTCTCATTATTATTATTATTATTATAATACAGGATTTATATAGATTGCACTGTGCTTTACAATCTAAGGAGAACATTACAGTTACAATACAGTTCAAGACAAGTTGGTTATCCTTCAGCTCCTTCTGCCTGCTGCTTAAAGTTAATGATTTCTCAATCTATATCCAGATTCTGTAGGTCCTCCGATCACTCAGAAGGCTCGCTTTAAAATAAAGGATGCTAAATGCCACTTGCGGCCACGGAGTAAAGATAAAATGAAAGAGTCTACAAAGCAGCCAATGGCAGGTGAGTGCTTTACTGGAGAAGTAATTGCATGTGCTAGAATATGATAAATAGCACTTAAAACAGTAAATGGCAATGTTAACTGTTATTGGACTAATATTAAAGTGTATCTAAACCCAAACACAGTTGTAATATATTGCAGTTTACCAGTCCTCAGATGTCCTATATTTACCAGTCCTTTTTTCCAACTTGTTATAAAAGTATTTTTTCTAGCCACCCGGCCAGTCTGTGCACCATTCCCTTTATATGCAAGCCACAGAGCATGTTCTCACATTGGCAATAGGTGGGGATTATGAGCAGACCTTTGAAGCTTAGTATTAGTCCAACACCACTGTTTGCCTGTAACTGACAGAGCCCTTGCTGTTGGAGGCTTAAAGCTCACCACACATGTTACAATTCGACTATAATCTCTTCTAGATCTACAAACAACTATGTAGTGCAAGGGCCTGACTAACTGGAAGCAAATTGATTGGATTGTTTAGGTAGATTCTAATTACATCGTTTTTGGTCAATGTAACGGAGATTGTACAAAGAATGTATAGTCACATTATAATGTGTATATCGAGCTTTAGTGGAGAGAAGTGCAGCCCTTATCACCAAAAGTGTTACCACATGATGGAGTGCCACATGGTCACTCCGGTGGTGTAGCTCAGTAGATGGTGGCTGTGTCACTGTTAAACAAGGTAGTGCTACCATGTTTTTCCTTGTCTTCAGTGGAAATATTCAAAACATACTGTGGTCTTAGAGGGAATAGAGGAGAATTTAATAATGGATCTAGGTTAATAAAGAAAAGCTTTTCCAAGTATTCCATGGGTATGGGTATAAACATGACCATTTCTTTGAGTCTAGAATACAGTGCAGATTTAGGGTTTGTGTAGATTGTCCCATGCAGCATGCTTTCAGGTGCATTCAACTTGAGATGCTTCGAAGTTCCATTAGATTTTCTTCACTAGTGCATCTGACCTACAGGTGACCTTTTGACTTGCAGTCCTTGTGACCCTACATTAAGCTGGTTTGGCATTCCCAATGACTTATGTGGAGAAGTCAGATTCTGTGTTGCTCTCGTCTTTAGAAATCATTTCTTTTCACTGTACAGACAGCTGCCATGTTACATTTGTGAATCTCAAATGTGACTCTTCAAAGAAAAAGAGACGTGGCCGGAAATCGCCTTCCAAGGAAGTGTCGCATATTGTAGCCGAGTTTGAGCTGGAGGTGAAGAGGGAAGAGATATCAGGTTCGTCATAACTTCTGTATTTGTTGCCTGCTTCTTACCAGATTTCAAAGGAACATATTATAGTCCTTTCCATTTGATGCTCACTTTCATTGGACAGTGATTACCGTACAAAGCAGTGGTTTTTAAGCTTTTTTTTTGGATAGGGCCCTAAAAAGAAAACAAAATGAGCATTTGTTATAATTAGAATCTCTCCTCTTTCAATTGTTACAGTTGTGCAACCTTGCCATTCGGAGATGACTGGATTTTTGATTATTCCCTGTCAGAGCAGAATTGCCAGGCTGTATGTCAGGTCTATTTCCTAAGGAGCCTTAGCTTAGTGCTAATAACAGCACTAAAAATTGTCACATAAGAAAGTGATGTCAGAGTTATATCAAAGTCTTTATTAATAGGAATAAGGGGGGTACTTTTGGCAAAGTTGTTTTCTTAATTGTACATTAAGGGACATTCGAGGTATACAAAATCAATGTGTTTAGCGCACATATCACACAGCACATGGTATCACATACTGTGGTGGTGCGGTGAGATGCCATTAATTTTGAAATGCACCTCCCAGTGGGTTGCATTGCGTCTCTGCACCAAACACATTACTGCGATAACTTGCATTGCTATGCAAAAAAAACGTAAAATAATGAGGCCAATGATGGGCCATTTGGCTCAAGAACAGACCCAGGATAGTTGGAAGGAGCTTCTATAACCCTCTTGAGCCTTACTAAGCCCATTGTCCCCTTAAAAAGCACCAAAAACACTTTTGCCTTCCCATTGATTTTAACGCATTTAACCAAAATGGGAACATTTACAGCTGAAAACACTGTTTTGTTCATCCCTAATTGACGATTTTGCCCTACACCATCAGCCCAATCAAAGTATCACTTTTAGCTCTGGGTTTAGGCGGGGGACAGAGCAGCCAACATCCTCAAAGCCTGAAATTGGAACACCTTTGTAGATTAGTAGTCTTATAGTCAAATCAATCTGGGAAGTGTTCAAATGGAACTTGAGCAGTGGATGTGTAGGGAGGGTTGTATACATGTGGCCCCAGATTTTTCTTCCTATGCATTTAATATAGAACTATGTGGATTTTTATTTTTAATTATGAGCATTTTTCCATAGCTGATGCCCCTGATATCTCCTTAGATTCCTGCAATTCAGACTGCATACGGAAGAGGGCGGAACAGAAGTTGCAGGCTGCCATTAAGACCCTGAGGAAGTCCATAAACAGGCAGCAGTTTTACATCCAGTTTTTTGGCATGGAGTATGAGGTGGCTCTGAAACCAGCGAAGAGCCTGGAGAATCAGGAGGTGTGCAGCGCCGGGCAGGTCCTGCAGGATGGGAAATGCGGTATTAATATATCTTTTACTTGTAGATGAGTATCCACAGTGGGTTAAAGAATTAAACAGATAGCAAACCATTTAAGTGTGCTGGGATTTATACTGTGTACAGTGTGAATTTAGTGTGTACATTTTAGGCTGACAGTGGGTCATGCAACACTTCAGAGAGCCACTGTAAGCTCCGCAGGCAGGCCCCTCGCTCACAGTGCGATCGCCTGCATTAGTGCCTGTGTTCCAGTCCAGTGCGATCTGCAAAAATGCTGCGAGCACTATTTTTGCAGATCGCACTGGACCGGAATGCGGGCACTAATGTGCCTGCGTTCCGAGTGCGAGGCGATCGCAATGTGGGCGATGCCATTGACTTTGATACAGCGCCACACCCCCTCCCGCACCTGAGCGCAGGGAGTCGGCCGGCTTACATTCCAGTGCGCCCTACATGTCACGGCGTCCTGTCCTCCTGTGGTGCCGACGTTGCACATGGGGTGTTCTGCACCTTTCCATCTGCAGCGTCTGACACATTCAGTCGGCAGCCGCACGAGCAGCACGGGAGCATAGCCGTAGCCAGCTCCTTTTGCGCAACAACGTTTTTTTTACTATTTTTTTATTTTATTTTCATTATTTTTTTACATTTTTTTTTTTTACTCTGGGGGGGGGGCTTCGGGGAAATATTAGGGGTCTAAAAAGCCCCCTGATATTTCCCTTTTAAAATTTAAAAAGAAATTGAGGACACATAGTCCTCAATCTTTTTTTCTGCAGCCTCTATTCTAAATGAATGGAAAGCACAGAGGCTTCCCATTCATTCCTAAAATATTTTACTATCAAGCATTTTCTGTATGGGGAGGAGCCTCTGTACAGAGTGCTTTTCCCCATTGAGAAACTCATGAATGAACAGGACATGATGTAAATCACCTCCTGTTCATTCATTTATAACTGGGGACACATTGTACTATGTGTCCCCAGTTATTTACAAACACTGGAGTGATCAGCTGATCGCTCCAGTGTTTGTCCTGCACAGAGGATTGGTACATACTACTGACGTGTACCGATCCTCTGCCGCTCAGCCACGCACAGCTTCTCCTCTGCATCCCCCTGCTCTCCCGGGCAGAGGTAGCGGGGGTTCCGACGAGAAGTGAAAGAGCACTTCAGCCGCGAGGAGGGGGGGGGCGGAGCCGCTGTGACAGAACGGACGAGCAGTGAGGGGAGAGAGAGGCGCCGGCTGTCAGATCCTGGCCGAGCGTCTCTTTCTCTCTCTCCTCACCGCTCTGCATTAGTTCTGTGACAGCGGCTCCGTCCTCCGCCCTCCCCCGCCGCCGGTTCCTTCACTTCTTCTCGGATCCCCGCTGAGAGCAGCGGGGATCCAGAGAAGCGGCGGGAGGAGAGGACATGGCGATCTACCAGTGATCGCTACACGATCGACTGGTAGATCGCGATCGACCTTGTGGGCACCCCTGGCCTAGAAGAAGGGAAAAGATACAAAAAAATGATTATAGTTTGTAAATTTTGAGGCTTGGTTCTACCACTTTAACACTACTGCCCTAGACACCGGCCCACAAGAGCCAATATGGAAAATACAGCCCTGAACTTGGGCAATTTTTTACCAGTTTTAACCAGATTTCTATTGTAGTTAGGGAAACCCACTTCCACAAATTAGATTGAAACTAAAAAAACAACCAAAACCTTTGGTAGGTTGTCACAATCCATTTATCTGTTGGAAATCAAAAGCTGGTTAAAAGTGATTGCTAGATAATTGCATGAGGGCATGGCCAATGGGTGAAAGCAATGATTAATAATTAGTGTAGCGAAAACTGGCAAGGCTGTACCCAGCGGAGTTTACCATCTAGAGGGATCTTACTGTCTATGCATTTCCTTTCAGTGACCTGTGGATTGGGAACATACTACAATGGAGAGAGCAATCAATGTGTGCCCTGTCTGCCAGGAACATATCAGGACACAGAGGGGCAGCTGTCATGCGAGCCTTGCCCAAGTAATGACGGCATGGGCATTGCTGGGGCAAGAAATGTCTCAGAATGTGGAGGTAAGTGACAGGAGGTCTTTAACCTTAAACATATAGCGTCACTTTGCTCTATTTGCTGATAGCCCACACGCCAACATGGTATACTCCTGGATCTGTGCCCCTTTGCCAACTATCGCTTCAAGCTGGGTAAGCTTCAGTGTGGAATGTTTTCGGAGCTAACCCAGGTGGGTGATATAACTGTCTTTGCCTATGTGACAATGTGCAAATGATTGCCTGATCAGACCTAAGCACTGTGCATGGGGGAGATCACATGCCCCCGACCCATCATGCCCAGAAGCCTCACTCTTTTAGACCAATAAAGCAATGGCGGCAAAGTAGCATGGATTGAGGAGTATAACTTTCTGGGGGTCATGTGGGCTATTAGGAGACACTGTCACTTTGCCTTAACTTGGTTTAACAATGATCTTCTCTTATTTGCTCCCTTTTGGTCTGTGAAATATACCATTTGTTATATCTGTTCAGTAAGTGCTAAAGAAATACCAATACACCCTGAGGGGAGGGAGGGAGTATTCTGTAGTTTAGCAAAAGACAACTAGGCAGAACTGGCACCATTCCTTGTGACTTCAGTGCAGTAAAGACACTGGGGGGAATTCATAAAAACTGGAGCAGAATCTGCAACCAATCAGCTCTTCTTTTCAGTTTGTTCACTTAAGCTATGAAATGAAACAGAGAAGCTGATTGGTTGCCATGGATATCCGTGCCTCTGTCTGCTCCAGCTTTTATGAATTACCCCCACAGTTTTGTCAATCCACATCAGGATATTATGAGTTGTTTGCATTTGTGGCAGAGCATCGGGTATTTTTTGTACTTCCAGGGTCTTTAAAGGTAGAAAACATGGGGAGATGTGTTTGTATTATAGATATATATCTATCTAGATAGATATATCTATCTAGATAGATAGATATCTATCTATCTAGATAGATATATAGATATATAGATACATATCTATATATCTATATATATATATATATATATATATACAAATATATATAAAATGCATATGGTTTTTTTGTGCCCTGACATACACTTTAAAGATGTTTTTTCTTTTATTTTTCACCTGGTGATCCCGCCAGTAACACTGTTTCTGTCCAAGGGTGACTCTACTGTATTGGGGAGCGACCCTTGGACATGAGCATTCTCAGTCTGGGGAGCGGTTAGTGTTATAAACACTAGCAAATTTAAATGGACTTGAGTAATAAATTAAAGCCAAACTCCAGCTAACAGTTTTAAGCAGTTACAGCAGCACTTTTTTCCTTTTGGGATAAAGGTTTTACCTACATGAATAAAAGCTGACCATTGTAAGCCCCCCATGTCATTGTTAAACGGTTTGTTCCAACTCGCTATCTGACACCTTTGCTGGGAAACATGGTCTGTTAAAGGAACTTGAAAAAAAAAAAGAGACTGGTAAGCTGCAAAATAATATTTTGCTTTTGAGTTTTTAGATCAGCTTTAACACTTTACCAATTATATAGTTTCTCTGCTATAGACCCATAACTATTAGATGAAGCTGTCTTGAATGTTCATGGTGCTGTCATTTGAAAGATTAATAAATCTTTAAGGCCATCGGATAACAATCATGTCTGTGGCTACATATATAGTTACAATGGTACATTTATTACAGCCCTGAGATACCTGATAAAACAGCAGTGTTCTTGTTCTGTAGGACAGTGTGCTCCCGGACATTACTCCGTGGATGGTTTCAAACCTTGCAGGGCTTGTCCGCTGGGAACGTATCAGCCAGACGTTGGGCGCACAGTCTGTTTCCCATGTGGCGGTGGACTGGTGACTAAATATGAAAGTGCTCTCTCGTTTCAAGACTGTGAGACAAAAGGTGAGTAAATTGCCAGCACTTGCACCACACCTGTCCCTCTTTGTGAAGGAAGCAAATCTTTGAACTATTTGAATTGCATACATGCTCCAGAAACATCATTAAAAAGATCTGTAGTAGTTTAATACTTTCTTTATCAGGTTTAGGACTACAAAAATGTTGCCAGGTAAATATGCAACATTGCATACAAATATTTTGTATTCTGCTTTTCAGCCAGTAGCTGGAGCTTCAGGTACATTTTTATGTTTTCCAGACACTGCCTTTGCTTCTTTGATGATCAATTTTTTTTCTACAAAGACATGTTAAAGAGTCAGAACAGTGACTTATCCCTTACCAAAGATTAAGTCATAGAAACAGTGTCTGAAGACAGGCAGCATCTGTTGTGCTGTCTCTTTAGCTAAGCCGTAATGCCTTGGAAATTCAGTGTTGTGTGTTAAATGTATATTTCAAATCAAAGATTGTATATAGATGGTAAGAAAACCAGATGCAAAATAACTAGGGCTGTTACTGATTAAAATTTTTGTGTTCGATTAATCAAAATTATTTTTAATCGATTAATCGATTTATTTTGATTTAATTATAACGCACATACAGATCCAACTACATTGGCCTATACAAATACAGCACAGCAATGAAGTAATAAAATGAACTAGGGTCACACTAATCCAGCACGTTATTAATCTCACGTGCGCCACTCAATATGGCCGCCGCTTGAGTGGGGCAACTCAGGATAATAACGTGCTGGATTAGTGTGATCCTAGTTCATTTTATTACTTCATTGCTGTGCTGTATGTGTATAGGCCAATGCCTTGGCTGGCGCTCGTGCAGAAAGTTTCAAAAAAAATTTAATCGATCAAAACATTTTTAATCGATCAAAAAGATTAACGATTAATCGAGAAATGAATCGTTAATTTGCACAGCCCTAAAAATAACACTTGCACTGACTACAAGTATACCTTGATGTACTTTCTACTAGGAAAAAGAAAGATTGTCTCTGTCCCCTAAATGGTTGCCTAGGCAACAAGTGTGTTTTAAAAAGTCTTATCCCACACCAATAAAGTTGTTTTAATCCACAGTAACTGATTAGATGGGGCTAACATTTTTCTCTCATGCCCCTCTTGCAAAGCAGTTAAACTTCTATTCCCCCCACCCATACACATTTTTTGTCTTGAGAAAGGCAGTCAGTCAGTGAGACTCAAGTTAAGTTGGCTCACATTGAGCCTTAGGGAGCTGCGCACAACTTGCAGAGAGTAATGTCATTGCCAGGTGGTGTTGCAGCACAGCCGAAGCAGGCATTGGACAGCAGTCAATAGAACAATCACTGGTCCGAAAGCCCAGGCATTTTAGCAGAGGGGCTGTGCTCAGGGTGGTGGGGATGCTGGGGGCTGTTTTAGCGATAGTGGTAGAGATAGACCCGGGTAAGCTGTTCTGGGGACAGAGTTGCTCTCTAAACCTGCTGAGAGTCTATCCAATAGCTCAGTTGGTACCAGCTGATTCATTTTCTTGAAATAGCCAATTGGGAGCAGTCAAATGGTGTCTGTTAAGTGGTCAGGTAGTCCTCATGATTCATGATTCGTTGGCTGCAGAAGTCAGCAAAATGACAACCCTTATCGTAGTTCCAGTTCCATGGTGTGCTACAAGGGTGCTGCACTACCACTTTGAGAAGCACTGGGTTCATGTATTCTACTTGCATGGGTGTCATAATTGACCCTCAAAGTCAGTTACCCAGAACAGGTATTTGGACAAGGGCTTCTGTTCTGCATACATATCAGAGATGGGTGACACCACAACAAACTATAATTCACAGTAGTGTTTAGGGGACACACAGGTCCTCTTTATAAAAGTGACAGTATAATTTCCCTCTACAAGTTCCAACCCAGAATTGATAGTCGCCTTGCAATGTTCTATTGCCTTTGACAAAAGTTGAAAAATATTATGCAGTGCAAAGCATTAGGTTTACTAATTAGGTATTGGGTATTGCAGCGCATACCTTTTCTGTGCTCCCCGTCGCTTCATTAGGCAGTACATCCAGGTATGGAGAGCATGTGACTGACTTCCTCCCAGGTGACTAGTGCTTAGTGGTTGGCCCAGCTCTGTCACTTGGGGACAAGGGAGAGTGTTCTCGTCTTTGTCGAAACTTCAGATCATTACATTTTTGCTCCTAATGGCTGAGTGACGTGGGAGCCAAGAGAAGGTGGGTATATGTTCTTCTGGAGGGGGGGAAGATAGGTCAATGCACATTAGTAATTGGATTACAGTTAAAACAATTCGGTAATTTTCATTTTTCAATCTCTTTGTGGCAGTGCACTGCTCTCCTGGACACTTCTACAATTCCACTACACACAGATGTATCAGATGTCCTATTGGATTCTACCAGCCAGAATTTGGACAGAATTACTGTATCACATGCCCGGGAAATACCAGCACCGACTTTGATGGTTCAACCAATGTCACACATTGCAAAAGTAGGTGTTTTTTTGTTGCAATGTTTTGATTTAATAATGTATAGAAAAGTGGTAATGATGATCCCTTGCAGAAAACAGCAAATGCCCTACCTTTGTACCCTCTTTACGAAGAAAGGTTTTAAGGATGAGTACATAGGGACATGGAGCCCACAGGAGCTCCCCTAAACTGAAATCTACAGCAATTTTATCCTTGTTTAAAAACTGGGTGTTTTGTCTTGCAACTCAGTAAATGGGAACTGCTACCGTCAAGATTTTCTGTGGAGTATTTTCCATGAAATTACTAGTCATCAAGTGTACTTGGAAATAATGATTATAATGTTATTATTTTCACATTTTTACTTCTCCCTCTAGTGGCTCTTGTATGACAGTGCAGTAAGAATGTAGAGAAAAGTCCCTTGGAGCCTGTGTTAATATCAACAATACATGATTCGAATTTTGGCTAATTCCCACTGAATAAGCCAAAAGCCCTGGGTGGCACTGCAAGCATCACTCAACTCAAAAAAAAAAAGTAAATGTTTCACCTGGTCCAGTTGATTTTAAAATCACCAGATGCAGGCCCTCTATTTTTATCTGGTAATTTTGCAATTCACTTCACTGTATCTGTGAAGGGAGCCATGGTTGTCAATTCATGCTGGGCTTCAAACACCTTTGTTCAATAGGGTCTAATGTGATTAGTAGTTTACAAAAAGGTGAGGTTGTTTGTGCTTTCTGTTAAGCTCGCAGAATGTGATAAGGACATTGCATTTCAGACGAGATCAAAACACTTGCGTATGTGTTTGCTGAAAATGTTCTTAGCCTAAAAAAATTAAAACTAATGCAGCCACAACATCTAAGGACTGATGATCTGCAATGTATTACATTTTGTTTTTGGATTTAGTTATCCTTAATTGCGAACTGACAGTGTTCTGTTTCACTTTTAAACAGGAAGCATATAAGCTATAATTACACTGGGCCATCCTCGTATACATAATTAATTTGAATCTATACATAGCTATAACTTTAAAAAAAAAATTATATTAGTTCTGATGACATTCATATATATTTTAATAACAGGTTTTGAAAGGCCGCACATTCTGTTTAAATGGTGTTCCAATGTATTTCAAAATGGAAAACCCATTTTCGCCCATTGACCTGTTATTACCATCTTTCGGTACTCACTGGTTAGCTGTTTGTTCTTGCCTGGGGGACTTATTAGTCCTTTTTCTGCCACTATTCAAGCGTTCAAACCTGAGACCTGAACTGCATCTGATATCTGGAGAGAAATTCATCAACTTTAGAAACATGCTTGCTTCCATAATTGATGAGTCTGCTTTTATTCACAGACCAACACTGCGGAGGTGATTTGGGGGATTATACAGGTTACATCGAGTCTCCCAACTATCCCGGTGATTATCCAGCCCATGTGGAATGCATTTGGAACATCAACCCCCCTCCAAAAAGAAGAATACTGATCGTAGTGCCAGAGATTTTTCTGCCAATTGAAGATGAGTGTGGAGATGTGCTGGTAATGAGAAAAAGTGGTAAGTAACAGATAAGTAGTATGTACATCTTAAAGTGAACCTGTGCTTTTTCCATGCAGGGAAAAGCACAGGTTAATTTAAATGTTTCCCTTCCCAGCTGCTTTTTATCACCTACCTTTTAGATCCCCTAGCACACTTTTGGGCCCCTGAAATGAAGACGACAAGCCCTGTGAAAACTTCATAACACACTAGTCAATGCTTACACAAGACTACAGATACTCTGCTCTCCCGATATGACAGCACTGGGACTGTGTTTGGATGAGAAGGCACCCCGTGCTGGATCTTAAGAGGAAGAGAGTCACATTATCCCCTATACCAGCAAGCATTGGTATTCCTCTGTGTCCCATGTGGACTAATGGAGCTATAGTAGAGCAAATGGAAGATGAGTATATGAGGATGCAAAGAGGCGGATGTTAAAGTAAAAGTGAATGAAAAAAAAGATATAATGGTAACAGACTTTTCTATTGCAGAAGAGACTCCATGTGCCTCTTCTGCAGTAAAACCTTTGACATTAGCAGCTAGCAGTTTTTACTGAAGTTACTACAATCTCATGTTTTAGTTTACTAATTTGTATTGAGACTGTAGTCCATCACAGGAGTGAGCTTGGAGCGGTGACTACTTTTCAACACACAGGGACCATGGGGAACAAAAGTAGCCCTCCTCCAGAAGGAAGGACAGTGTCAGCACCAATTCAGAGATGATTTGAGGATCTACAGCCGAGTGATACACAAATAAGATACATTTTTGTTATTAGTGAAGGTACTTGAATGTATTTTTAAGATTTAACTCCTGAGCTTAGTGTCACTTTAACTAGTGTTAAAGTGATGCGTTACTTGCCATGTAACAACCTGTAGGTGGTGCTATACACATTCATTTTCAAGGCTCTGAGAATTTTTGCTGCCTGGGTGGGCGACTTGGTAGGGGTGGGGGGTGAAATACGGAACATGGAGTTGAGTTTTAAAGTCTTTCACTTCCTTTGCTTTTTTCCCATTTATATGAAGAAAATTAATTGGCTACAATTGCAGCAATTTCTGAAATAGTAAACTGTTTTTTGCAGTGATCTGTGACAAGTGTGGTTTTAGAGTTTTGTGTTATGTTTGTTATTTTGATTCAGACATAAAAAAAGATATCTGAAATATTTCTTAAGCCCTATAAATTCTCAATTTTCAGCCTCCCCAACCTCCATAACAACATATGAGACGTGTCAAACGTATGAGAGGCCAATTGCGTTCACTTCGCGATCTCGAAAACTCTGGATCCAGTTTAAGACCAATGAAGGAAACAGCGGGAAAGGTTTCCAAGTGCCATATGTCACATATGATGGTATGTGATTTATTTTTCTTGCGTCATGTCAAACCATTGTCATTTTTTGTCCGTCACTTCAAGTATATCCCCTTTTGTCTGTTTTGTGGGAGAAATATCAAATCTGTAGCTTTAATAGACATGTGCTAAGCTTCTTTAATGCCCACTGCACATGTGCGTAGGATGTTTTTATTTGATAAAATATCAAAAGTCTGGAGAAGACTCATACTTCACACTTGTCCATGTGCTCCTATCTGTAAGAGAATAAAATAGAAGTGCCATATTGGGCCCAGGTCAGATCTGGTCTGCTGTAATGTATCTTAGAGCAATGTTATGAAAAAGTTACCTGGCTCATAGCAAGAAATGGAAGAAATGGAAGAAATAGATACCATCTAATCTAATTCTCCAATCTGCTTTACTTTCACAGAGGATTACCAGCAATTAATAGAAGATATTGTTCGAGACGGCAGATTATATGCTTCAGAGAACCATCAAGAAATTTTAAAGGTATGCTAACATCCTAAAGTCCTGCAAATCATCAAAAGATGTGTGTGTTTGTGTGTATATATATATATCTATATATATATATTCATAAATACCAAAAATAAATAAATGGGGCTTTTTAGGTGACTCATAAACAATGCAAGGAAATGCAGTTAGACATAATGCCACGTGACTCATTATTGTATAGTAAAATTCATATTTAATAACATAATTTCATGATTAGCAAAACATTTTATATAAAAAACATAACACACATCTAAAAACAGGACCATTATACATATAAACAGCATGCCACCTCTAGGAATCTGTACAGACATAGATCAATGAATAATGAAATACATACATAAATACCATGTATAAGATTTCTTAGGGCGAGCAGATTCGCATCTAGGGGAGTCCCTCTACTCCTCCAGGAATCTGCTCGCCCTAAGAAATCTTATACATGTATTTATTTCATTATTCATTGATCTATGTCAGTTATTGTTACGTATGGTTAATTGCTATTTTCAATTATTTGAATGCTCACTATAACATTCATATGGATTCTACAGGCCACCTCTATAAACTTCTTGAAAGACTTATTGCATGACTGGAGTGCCAATTCTTCATCTTCAGATGCCCATTTGCCATTATCTACTGAAAACACATGAATATTTTTGGCACAGCTTTAAGTATGTGTTTTGTGTAGGGTTCCTAATTTACCCTCAAACAACTTCACCCAGGGCTCTCTGTGGATGTATTTGTACGCCTAGACAAGTTACTTCAGATTGTGAGCTTCTGTATGAGTGCAAAAATTGAAAAAAGGGCCTCAGTCATGAAGGGGTTAAAATCTGGCCATGTAAGAACCTGATGCAGGGACCATAAGCATTCAATTATAGGGAATGGAATGGGTTAAGTTGGCATTAATGTAAGGGTTAAAATTAGATTTCTATGCTTGGGTTAAGTCTCTGAATTAGCTGAGGATAAATGTTAAGGGTTTAATTTATGGTTATTTGATTGATTAGCAAACATGGCTGGCTCTATTTACATATATAATTGCAAGTTATACATTTAAAAAAAAACAAATGCGTGCACTTTCTGTCTGCTTGTTAATAACTGTTGAGATTAAATATCAGCCAGGGAGTGCCTTATTTTCAATAAGTTGGCATTGTATGCAGTAAAGCACAGCCAGTGTATAGCACTGCAAAGTGGGAAGGAGAGCCTGAGTATGTAATAAACAATTATGTCTGACCCCATGTACATATACAGTTGCAAACAACATGAAGGGGTGTATTGATAAACAAATCGCAGAGCCATTTGTCGTGCGAAATTGCAAGTACATTCGCTCTGTGCAATTGGAGTGAAACAGAAATGTTATTAACATATTTTCTTTCCAGGCTGAATGTAATATCGGGAAAATTCCGCATTATAGGCACTAGATGGTGCTGAGGAGCATAGGAAAGAAGTATTTATTTTTGCTGCACTTCAGCACCATCTAGTGGGCATAATTAAGTATTTTTCTGATATTACATTTGACCTGAAAAGAAAACATACTAATAACATTAATTTTTGTCTCCGTTTTTTTTTTGCATAGAACAAATGTACATGCAATTTTGCAGGACGAATGGTTCTGCGAATTGTTCATAAATGCAAGAAAAAAAATCCTTGCTGCACTCCTTACATGGATTCCCATATAGATATGCAGACGGGTGCTTGACATGACCGCGGATGGCGCCGCAACATGTAGATAGTTGAAGAATGTCAACAGCACACCAAATCGATGATTACAGCAATTAAGTGTTCATTTATTGACGTATGCAGTCTCTCGTTTGCAAGCGCTTTTGGGGGCCAGGGAGGGTCCCCTTCATCAGGCTCAGAGATCTCTGTGTTCATAAAGACACATTATAGAGACGGTGATCATCAATATTATTGTATTTTTTATTAATCAGGAATATTTGCAAGCTGACCTCTTTGATGTGTCTCTAAAAAAAAAAGAATTGAATAGTCAGTTTTAAATCGTTACCTTTAAAGGTTTTTGATTTTCCTCCTTGATATTGATATCCAGTGTCAGTCATTTGCTGTTGTTTTCCTGGAACTCTGAAGTAAACTTTCTTTTTTGACTTTCCTGCAGGACAAGAAGCTGATCAAGGCTCTGTTTGACGTCTTAGCGCATCCCCAAAATTACTTTAAGTACACAGCGCCAGAAACAAAAGAAATGTTCCCCCGATCTTTCATTAAACTGCTTCGTTCAAAAGTGTCCAGATTTTTACGGCCTTATAAATAGTTTATTTTAACTAGTTGATTTTGTTTTTTTGCATTGGTTTTTTTTTTTTTTTCTCCCCGGTCGACCCAACACTTTGTCCCTCCTCGTTGTAGAAACTGTTACATGTGGAAGACTTTCTTAGTCGTCGTTCTTCCATTCTTTGGGAGGAAAAAAGGGCTTTTAAGAAAAGTTATTTTATGGATGCCGCTTTATTTTTATTTTTTCTTCTTTTGGCTTTGGAATTATCCAGAAAAATAAAACGGCTTCTGTTCTTCCGTACTCTGGATTGAAGATTTTCTAAGCTGCGGTATCATTTCATCTATTAGATATGCATGCTGCCATGTAAAGAAAAAAAGTATTCAAACCTTTCCATAGACGGCCAGACGTCTGGGGTATGAACTGTATTCAATGAAGAGCTGACAGAACATGGGAACTGTAGGGAATATGACTTTTCTTTGGAGCTCATGAAAATGGATATCGTAGAGAGTAAAGCGGCTTCCATGTTTGACCTGACAAGCTACTTGGCAGTCTGTCCTCTTTGTCTTCAAGAAGATGGAATTGCTGCAAACGTTTAACAACGCAGTTAGCAGTTGCTCCGTGTCTCCGGGACATTATTTTAAACCAATATATTCTTTTCTCAACAGTCCTTAAAGGAGAACTCTCGTCACAACAGATGCTGCCGGAATACATATAAAGTATTAGGTTACCTCCACTTGGCCTTTTTTCTTGCAATGAAGTATCTGTACTAAAGCTTAAAGATCACTTCTCACCTGATCTAGTTAGATTTTCAGGTAAGCGGCATCAGAGGATGTCAGCAGTTGGATCAGATTCGATTGTGCTGCATGCCGCTAATATACAGCGGCCGGGTGACATCATAGAGGTTTCCCTTGCTGTTATTGGCTCCTCACTTTTTAAGTACAGAATTATTTTTCTGCCTAAAGGCATTTCCTGAAACAAGGGGCAGACATTCGTTGATGGCTGTCCATGTGACATGATGGGTGACCAGAGTGTTTTGTCTGGAGTTCTTTTTTAAGTTTTCCATGATATTAGGAACTCTGGGGAAACATGTTATTAACCCTTGCTGTGGGGCTACCCCAGCACTGCAAGGGTTAACTGCTCATTTGTGTCCTAGGTGCTAAAAAAAAAAGTTAGTCACCCGATCATTCAGGCCGGTCTGTTCTGATACCGGTCCTGACAGCCTCTCCCCCACTCCTCAGTAGCGGTCAAAGAATCCTTGTGTCTTGATGTTCTATACACAGAGGGGAATTTATCAAAACTGGAGCAGTTGCTCATTGCAATCAATCAGCTTCTATCTTCTGTTTGTTCAGTTAAGATTTGAAAATGAAAGAGAGAAGCTGATTGGTTGCCATGCACAGCTGCTCCAGATTTTGTCTGCTCCAGCTTTGGTAAATCCCCCTCAGTGTATAGACGTGAGGAGGCTGAGGAACCATCTGTGCAGCAGAGGAGGAGAGAGGCTTTAGAAACCAGAGAAGCAGTGGGTCGGCTAAGCAGTTTTGTTTTTTTAGCACCTAGAGAAAAATGAGCAGTTAACCCTTGCAGTGCGGGGCTAGCCCCACGGCAAGGGTTAATACAAAAATGTTCCTTCCTTAAGTAAGGACTCTCTTACATATACCAAGCATCATGAAATCTGATCATAGCAGCTTAATATCAGCCGGCGCACATTATTATTTTAAATTTTTTTTTCCTTTTCCAGTTGGTTTAAGAAACTACCTGCAAACGAGTATTATGGCAAGAGAACAAAGTGTGTAGTATAATTAATATTTTAAATTGCACTTGAATTTTGTATGTGATGGTTAGGGGGAAGAGATGCATTTTTATATTTTATTTTTTTTGCAGATTTTAGGGATCTAATCTAAACCAAAAATTGTAAGGACTGTATAGTATTGTTACTGTTCTGCCTATTCACCCAGGCAGTTCATAGTAAGGCTAAATCATATTGATGACTTGAGAACACCTACCATTTGTGTAGATTGTGCAGATGCGAGATCTTTCCATACATGGGGGTGTATTATAATCAATTTGCAGATCCATTAGCCCTGAGAATCTCTGTGAACATTCGCTCGGTGCAAATAGAACCAAAAATTAACGTTCTTAGTATATTTCCAGGTCATACGTAATGTAATACCGCATTATAACCATTAGATGGAGCTGAGGAGCCTAGGAAATAAATACTTCCTTCCTATGCTCTTCAGCGTTATCTAGTGGCCATTATGCCTTAGTATATTACATTCAACCTGAAAATAAATTGACTAAGAATGTTTGTTTTTGGCTCTACTTGCACAGAACAAACATTCACAGAAATTTGCGGGGCATATGGATCTGCAAATTGTTTATAAATAGATCCATAGTGATTGAGTGTTTTGTGCTTTGGAAGTATTTGGATGGGGCCCCGAAAACTGTTCGCCACTAATTGCGCCTTCTGATTCATTGCAGAACCTTTGTCGAGTGTAGATGGCAATACCCAGAAAAGCTTGCTATAGATGATGAGCAGTTGCCTATGCAGTTTTTGTAGCAGTCTTACAGCATATGAGGTACTTGTTATCCTAAATAAGGTTCGCCAGGTTTAAAAATGTTGGCAGAATCTCCATTTTTCTCTGCTGCTTAAGCTACTGTAGGTAAGGCATGATGACTGGGCCTGTTTGGAGATGTCTTTGCTCGTATCGCAGCTATAAAGGTGGTAGTAGATCCAACCCAGCTTGACCTCACCCAAAAAATGGATAAAAAAATGTTTCCTTAACTATAACAAAATATAAGATCGCGACTTCACAAATGTTAAAAGATTTATTTTTTACGTTTTGTACAGAATCGGGAAGTATCAATACCTCTGTGACCATTTCACCTCACTTCCTGTCCTATGACACCTGTGACAACATAGGAAAGTTGAATACACAGATCATAATTACTTGTTCTAACTCTTTAACAACGTCTGTGTCACACTGGAGAGACTTTCCGTCCTGATAGGAATTAAAGGGAAGTCTCCCCAATGGGCAAAGTTGTAGTTCAGCGAGTGTACTCCATGTAGCCAATCACAGTGGGTGCTGAAGTAACCATCAACAGATAGCACTGGCCTTATTTTTCTTTTCCTCCTCATTCTTCTTATGGTGGCCATTTGCACTGAGAGCAGATGTCTCCATCTCCCTTTACTTCCTGGAACTCTGGGTCAGCCTCCTGAGACATGTGCACATTTTCTCGGGGGGAAAAAATGCCTTTCCCCCAAGATGCTACGATATTTTGCAATTTACATGATGAGATTTCCCAGGAAGCACTAGTGATGTTCCTGGGATGCATCTGTGAGGCCAGGGCAACATCACCAGTGCCTCACTCAGCCAGGAAGTGCAAAAATAACTAAGTGAAAGCAAAAAATGTTTAACAAATGTAAGATGATTTCATATCACCATGGAGAGCTGCGTGCTGATGTGGATTTAGGGGGTCAAGGTGCACTTTAAGTATGAATGGCCTTTTCAGTTTTGACTGGCCTGGGCTTTATTAAACGCCCCAACTTTCCTGGTCAGGAGCAGCGCTGGCTCTTATAGATGGGCAGACAAGGCGTGAGAGCGACTGTAACTGCCCTGAGAATTCTAAAGAAGAGCCTCCTGCAATAGAACACTGCGAGTACTCACCTCTCTGGTAGGTGATAAGTCTGAAGCCCTCCATCTACAGCCCCCTGTACCCTTGCCGTGGTTCCTTCCTCTGACCCCAACTTCACTACAAACTCCTCAGTGAATGTTTGTCGCAAATTGTGGCTAATTTAGAAAGTTTTTCCCTGTATTGTCTTTAAAATGTTCAAGTATTTTTGGGCATTTTTTTTTTGTGTAACTTGGTTCCTTATTAATGCATAAAGCTTGGCCAAACATTTTACCTAGGTCTATACCTTCCCCACTTTATTCAAAACTCTGTTCAAGAGATTTCCTCTCCCTTCCCGACAGGAAGTGATAAGAAGCCTCATTTTATTAGGATTGGGAAGAATTTCTGACTGTTTTTATTGCTGTCCATACCTTTCTGTTCCGGTGATGATCCACTTTGGAGGAGAGGGAAAATCTTCCCAATGGGGTCACAGACTGACCTAAAAACGCTGACAGAAATCTAATGATCGATCTGCAATAGAAAGAAATGCTTGGATTAGCATTAAAGCTGAACTCCAGCCTTCCCTTCAGTCTTGCACAGATAAGTGTCTCACAGTGTGCATTAGAAGCTGCCATCAGATAGCACCCGTCTCATTTCCTGGTTGGAGGACAGATAGTGCAATGGCAGCAAAACTTTGGCCCTCCAGCTGTGGTAAAACTACAAGTCCCATGAGGCATTGCAAGACTCGCTCTCCTCTTCAGTCTAACTGTCCTTGACCCGCTCCTTTCATTCAATGGATTTCAGTGCTTTCAATTGTGAAGGTTCAGCATCACATGTGGTTGTTACCTAGGGCGGTCTGTATACATATGCAAGCTGCCTATGAATGGCCACTCCCCCAGACTGACATCAACCCATCAAAACATTTTTGGATTTGCATAACTCCTCCCTAGAACAAGCCAGCTGCTTACATCAGGGCTGGGGGCTCTTGAGAAAGTGCCGAGGCAGGGTACTGTAATGTTTTCAGGAAGCTATGTACAGCACCCTGCTGGCCCCTCCAACCAGCCACCATCTGCCTGCATTGCATAGAGACCCACAATGTTGATGAAGCGGGGGGGGGAGGCAAAATATGAACAGATTAAACTTCAGCTATAAGCACCTGAAACCCCATGTATAGATCTGGAAGGCACAAATGGTACTTATAGAGTCGGTATGATATGTTTGCATTCATTGGGGGAAATGTACAAAGAGTCACGAGTGCTGTCACTGCACAATTTGCGTGTATGGAGTGCAAATTTTACATCACCTGCGTCATGCAACTTTTTTATGCAATCAAGAGATGATGTGCAAAGTGACTGTGAATTTCCTGTGATTGTTAAAGAAAGAGCATGAAACATGAAGAATGAGCCCAATCCATGAAATGTCTGAAGGTCCTTCAATACGACTTTGTCCTTTTAATGTCCCTGGGGCAGGTTAGGAAATCAAAGAAGGAAGCTTGGTGGTTGCTAGGGGCAACATAGCTTTCCTTCCCTCGCCGCTTTTCCTACATGGCGAGGGTCGGTGTTCTCATCCATGTGGTAAATGTTTTCATGCATGTTCTTCCCTTTTTGTTATTTTACATTTAACGTCATCTCATTTTAATTTTTTTGTATTTTCCAAAAACATGGAAAACATTCCCCTCCCCCCCCCGGTAATGTACAGAAAACTATTTGAAAAACACTTTTTTTTTTTTTTCTTTGGTACCTGATTATATACAGTTACAATGCAGTGTGTATTTTTTATTTAT